AGGAGACAAATGAGAACCAAGAGGTAAAACGGACCCTTCAGGGGGAGGTTGAATTGGTCTCCCTCTCATTCTATTTCTTGTGCATCTCACTCACTCAGGATGATTTGCAAATCCAGCCCAGGGACCAGAGATCTGAGACTAGTGATAAAACCATCAGCCAAGATTTGCTACATCTTTTTTCCACCCCCTAGTCTCCCATTAAAAATGATTTGTCGCTAGGGCGAAACACGGGAAAACAAACGTGATTAAAATTTTCCCATATTAAATACCTGCACGGCAGTGGTGGGGCTGGGCTGAGCTCTCTGGAAGGGCTCTGATTCATCCATCTGGAGGGCGAAGGAGCAGCTGGCAGAGTCGGGAAGCGGAGCCAGAGTCTGGGTTTGTTCCTCTGCTGCCTCACACACACACTGGCGTCTCCTTCCCATCTGGTTGACTGCACCCCATTGACGCTATTAAACACGGATTAAAGGTGTCTGGCACCACCACAGCACTGGGCAGGGAGGAGGATGGCGAAGGAGGATGTGCTCTGTTCTCCTCCTCTGCTTTCCCAGAGGGGAGGGCTCTCTCAGGATGGTCAGAAACGGGTAGATCTGTCCAAGATGCACTAGGCTCATCACATAGGTTATAAAATCCCCTCTGCAGCTTTCACAACTCTCAGACACGTTTTTGCTTCCTCAATGTCTATGGTAGATCAATTGCAGAAATATCTACAATTCTTTGCCCGTCCCTGTATCTGCAGCTTTTTGCAACGTGACCTTGTAGCACAGACTCTCAATCCTTGACATCAACTGGTCTTGTGACTTGCTTTGGCTTAACGAATGCAGCAGGAGTGTCGGCTCCAAAGTTGGGGCTCAAGGGGTCGATGTTTTTCACACTTCCTCTCTCACTTATAAACAAGGTTGAGTTACTCTATGGAATACTGAGACACATGGCCCAGTTATTACCTGTCACCCCATCCAACAGCCAGCTGACTTCTAGATATGTGAGGGCAGCCACAATCTGAACACAAACTATGAAAAAATCCAGATGACACCTGCCCATCTTGCCCTAGGCCAGTAGTACTGCCCAGGTGACCTGCAGAATAGTAAGCAATAATATATATTTGTTATGGGGGCCAGCACTGGGGCACTGCCGACATCCCATATCAGAGTGCCAGGCAGAATTCTGGCTACTCCACTTCTGATCTAGCTCCCTACTAATGCACCTGGAAAAGCAATGGATGATGGCCCAATTACTCGGTCACTGCCACCCACGTGGGAGATCCAGATGGAGTCCCTTGCTCCTGACTTCAGTCTGGTCCAGCCCTGGATGTTGTGGCCATGTCGGGAGTGAACGAGCAAATGGAAGACACTTCTCTGTGTTCCTCCCTCTCTCCTTCCCTCTCTTCCTCCCTCTGTCTCTGTCACTTTGCCTTTCAAATACTTAAAAAACCGTGTTATTTCCAAGTCACTTACCCTTTTCTGTGTATTTATTTGTGTTTACTCATTTGAAGAGCAGAGTGCTAGAGAGAGAGATCCCTTCTCCCTCCTGTTCCTCTTCTTCATCATCATCTTCCTCATCCTCCTCCTTCTCAATCTCCTCTACCAACCATCTGTCCTCCCTTCTCATGAGAATAGGAAAAAGGTGCTACCTCCTCCTCCCTACTTCTACAGAACTAAAGCACCCAGAGCCCAGAGGAAAGGCTCTGCCCGCTTGTCTGAGCAAGGCGAGGGAGGTCACTCACATGGGCCCCAGAACTTGAAGGGGGAAATGGTTGCTCAAGAAGGCACCCAAATGTTCCCCTAATAGCATGTATGTTCTTGGTGGTAAATTTCACATACACACATTATAACTCAAATATCTCTTCATGAAATGCCCCCACCCCCACCCCAAGCCAGGACAAGCATGGCTTGGATTTCATGGAAGGATGGAGCATGTAGGAAGGCTAGGGACCAAAAAGAGAAACACCAGTAAGTCATATTACTTTAAATTCTAGTGCTGAAGATGAACAGATGGAACTGGCATAGTGATGTAGAAGACTTGGAGTTGGGTATAATATTGCATCTAATGGGGCCGGCGCTGTGGTGCAGTGGTTAATGCCATGGCCTGAAGTGCTGGCATACCATATGGATGCCGGTTCTAGTCCCGGCTGCTCCTCTTCCAATCCAGCTCTCTGCTATGGCCTGGGAAAGCAGCAGAAGATGGCCCAAGTGCTTGGGCCCCTGAACCCATGTGGGAGACCTGGAAGAAGCTCCTGGCTCCTGGCTTCGGATCTGCACAGCTCTGGCCATTGCACCCATCTGGGGAGTGAACCAGTGGATGGAAGATCTCTCTCTCTCTCTCTGTCTCTCTCTCTGTCTCTCTCTGTGTGTCTCTCTGTCTCTCTCTCTCTCTCTTTGCCTCTCCTCTCTCTGTGTAATTCTGACTTTCAAATAAATAAATAAATCTTTTTAAAAAAGAGAGAGAGATAGCATCTATTAGCATTCCTGTGGAAATATTAGGATATAACTAGAGTTGTCTGAGATAAGATTCTTTTTGACATAAAAGTAGCAATCAAATTGATCATGAAATGGGAATTTGAACACAGAAGAAGAAATATTTGAGGGACAGCAAATCTTTCCTGAAAGCAGAAATCTTCCTCTTCAAATCCATCTCCAATCTACTACTCTTAACATTATCAGAGTTCTTATTACAAGACAATTTTTCCATCTTCTGGCGCCATCTTGCACCCACCAAACTCCTTTCCTTATACTTCCCTTCTTGCATTTTACCTTCCAGATACCGGTACACCTTAGGGAACACCGGATCAACTCCTCCTTCCAAACTTTCGCAGCACATTGTCTCTATCTGGAAAATTCTAGCTCCTTCTCTTCTTAGCTCTTCATTTATGTGTTGTTTTATATGTCTCCCCCTCCAAACATTAAGATCAAGGGAATCCCCGTTCCAGCAGGTGTGTTATTCATGGTCCTTTTCTGTGTGTCACTGTTTTCTTTCCTATAGACACAGAGCTGGCTGCACCGTTCCCTTCCGCTGTACACACAGAGTAAACACAGACTCTAACTGTCACTCGGGGACCGTAGCACCATCACGCTTGGGCCATTCCACGCCCAGGAGATCATTTCTATGAGTGGCAACAAGGGAAGAAACAAGATCATTAGCCCATTCTTTAAATCCACTTTGTTTTAGGTCATAAAATTGTTTACATGCTTGCTTGTTATTTCTGTCGCAGTACAGAAGCCTGCCTCTACAAGTTCTAACAGTAGAAAAAGATAGCAATCTGATGTCATCCCACCAATCATCCTGGTGCAAAGTAGAGGGTAGGTCCCCCAACCACACCCCCGGAGAGGGAGCAGTGAAGTAGTAGCTAGGCTGTGGTTCAGGAGCCTGACCTGGATGAGTTGTGTTCTGTCTCATTTTCCCAGGACCTAAGCAGGAATTGGGAAATGGGAGTCCAGTTTCAGTTGGATCTTTGAAGTCATCTAAAGAGAGGCATGAGCCAAGAACTGAGAAACCAATGATGTAATATCTGAGAACTTCTGAATGGTGCCGTGAGTAGAGAAAGGAGTTCTAATGGATTCTGGCCCCTTGAGTTCTGCACCCCTCCCTGTCTGCTTTATAGAAAGAAGCAGTTAATAAATACACAACCAGCAAGAAGACAGGTGTCTGTCCTGACCTGGAGTAAGATCACCACTAACAGAGGGTTTTCGCTAACATTGCCACTCATAGGCTGTTTCTTGAGCACCCTTACCCGGTGCTCCCCTCACAGTCTGTTTCCACCCCCAACCCCCCACTAGATTATGAACTTCTCCAGGTCACAGACTAGATCGTGTTTGCCTCAGTGTTGGCTGCTACTCAGAACTCATTGAATACTGACACTCATGAGAGGGTCTGAACACCAGTTTGGTCCAGAACACTGCCCCAAGATCAACCAACTGCCAGCTTTGGTTTCATAAACTCAGCAGGCTAAAGCAAACGACCCTCAAGTCTATTACATTGTGATTTTCTGGTGAGCAGGCCATCCAATTGGCAGCTGACCAACTTTAGTTATCCAAGAGCAGAATTTGGATAAAATCCTAGCTCTCATAGTTGGGAACATTGCTTATCCTCTTTGTGTCTCAGTTCCTTTATCTCTAACAAGATGGCAGTAACGGTATTTCTCCTGCAGAGTGGGTTTAAGAAACTGAAGATAACATAGGCTCTCTCTCAGGCTCATGATAGACCAAAGTGAGTATTTTCTATGATTACCGCAATAATGATGACACTGATTATGACACCATTAGTGATGTTCTATCTGCTCCATCTTTGGGCTGTGTTGATTGGTGGGCAGCGTGCCAAGTAGGATACACTGGTACTCAAAGCACACTTAATTATCACACTTTGGTCAGGCTGACAAAATGATTCTGTTTCCTTGTGTATGTTCCCTTCTCCCTTGTATTTGAGTATTTGTATCAGCTAGTGATTTGGTATGCACCAACATTTCCCACTGACAGGAAAGTCAGAGAAAGCACAATCTTACAGCTAAGATATTAGTTCAGTTGCTCTGAGTCTTATTGGTGTGATTGATGGGAGTTTTATTGCAAATGTAAAAATCTGCATTCCTTTCTTCCTGTGTGGTCTTGCACAACACGTCCTGGTGCAGTGAAGATAGCAGGGCTCTGCTGTGCGTGGCGGCTCTGCATCAAAGCTGGTCAATGCAACATCAGCTTGGATGACAGAAACTACTAGGCCAGTGACACTCTCACACACTCACCACCTAATACAGATGGCAAAACCTCCAAAAGCCACAGAGAGTGTTGGCAATACAACATCAATTCCACCAGCATTGACTGAGCTCCTACAAGGCAATGCTTAAGCCAGCACACAAATGGGTGTACACTGAATTATTGTTAAATGAATGAAACAATGGATGGATGAATGAGTGGAAGTCTGTATATCATAAAAAACACTGAGGAATCCAGAATGTTTCTTTTTTGGAGTGACTTGAATTTTAAAAGCCATCAAACCTGAAGGAAATTACCTAGAAGAGATGCATATATACAGCAAAACCCCAAAGATATTAGCCCAGATGCTGCAAATCAGACAAATGCAAACTACCCGGTGAGTGAATAATGACTGGGCTGCCAAAAACTGAAAATCCAAAGTGAAATTTAACTTGATTTCAAGGAGAGAACGTTGCACCACGTCCACAGGCACAAGCAAGATTGTGCAGACGGGAAAGGGTAGCCTTTGCTTCAGCTCACGTGCTTCTAAAATCTTGACGTTATTCCTCTCAGTGGTGACGGGATTGCTGTGGGGTCTAAAAGCCAAGGAACTTTATGAAGAGCTTTCGGTCTGGGTAAGGAAAGACAAGTAAATTTTAGGCTATGTGTTTAGAAACTTAAAAGTACCCTGCTATTATATCCCCAGTAGCTAGCGCAATGTCAGGCACACAGCTGATGCTCAAAGTGTGGCTGACTGCATGTATGAAGAAATCTATAAAATATCCTGTCCAGCCCTATTATGTTATATGCCACCTGCTTTACTGCGGATGGAATACATGGTGGACAATGTATAAATATAGTGTACCTGCGTTATTTCCATGGTTCTACGAGACAGCATTTATTCCATAATATTTAACCTATAAGCTATGACAAGAGGAACCATACGCGCGCGAGAGAAACATGTGAACAGGCATCAGAAGAAGATGCTTTCAAATCCAGGAAAATTGGGGAAAGCATTACAGAAGAGGAAGCGTTTAAGGTGGGTTTTAAAGCAAAGGGCAGATTTGAATATTGTACAATGTGGAATAAAGAAATCAAAGAACACCCTCGGTGCAACAGAAGGATAAGGCAATGTTTTTTCCCAAATGCATTCCAAGGAATCCTTTGTAAAAAAAAAAAAATCGCCTGGAAATGGCCATACCTGGACTAGGGCTCAGAATCTGATGGGAGGGCTCACACATCTGAATCCTAGAAAACTCTCTAAGTCACCTCTATGAGCTGCAAAATACGGGGAACCATTTCTAAGCAGTGCCAAGTTCACCATTTAATGTAGTGTTCTCCGCTATCCAGGGAGGTAGGTATGAATGTCCCCATGTTATGGAAAGGGACATTGAGGCTCAGGGAGGTGAAGTGAGTTGTCCAAGGATACCCAGCCTCTATGTTAAAGAGCTGTGATTCAAACACAAGACATCAGATACCAACCCTTACACTCTAGTTTCTGAATATAAGGCTACAGAACAGGCTGCACGAAGGGGAGCTACAGGAGGTGACTTAATTGCACTTAAAATACTTTCTCCAGAGACCACATGCTCCTCTTCTAGACTAAGCTCTGTGAGGGCGGGCTGTCAGATTTCCCTTTGTGTGTTCCTAGCATCTACTTGTGCCTTGCACGTGACGGGCAGCTATATCACCAGGAGACTTCCATCTCAATGGCATGCTGCGATAATGCTGCTGGACGCCAGTGCCCACTCTGCTCTGCATTTCATCAGTCTCGTCTCCGTTTTCAAACGAAAAGGTCAGTCAGTGTGTGCATCCTACCAAAGCTGCTAGTGGTTGGGAGATGAAGCTAAACTAGCTGTTAAACAGTCTAGAGGAACAGATCAGAATTGGATGTGAACTCTATGGCCGGACACTTCATTTGTGGTCAGTTAGAGGAAGGCGAGAACATTAAGGTCCAAGATCATGGGTCAAATGACCAAGGGAGTCAGACTTCCTCCCTGATCCAGAGCATCAGATACCTCCGAAAGCTACCTGGCCATCCAGGAAGTTCATGGAGGTCAAGTGAATCAGGTCTGACCTTCACCTAATATCCTTGTATATTTCCTTGCTCAAATGTCAACATCAAAGAACTCCTTAGAGCACCTCCTTGCATTTCCACGTCCCCTCACCCTATTCTACTTTTATCCAGGACTCTGAGTGACACCCACCCAGCATTACATTCTCTCTTATCTGTTCTGTTGTCTGTTGCCTGCCTTTCCCTACCGCACTTTTAGCTCCATACGGTCCATTTCTCCCATGTTCAGGACTCTGCCTGTTTTGTCACAGACACTGCATCTGGCACAAAGGATCCTCTCTCTTCCAGAGAAGCAAATTCATTCACAGTTCTAACTGCCTTTACTGGGTGATGCCATTTAAAAATAAAACTCTTTTTTTTTTCTAGCCAAATAGCTTTCTTTTCATCATCTCTAGTATAACCTCACCCCCAGTTCAGGCCAAGGTCTCTCTGTCCTCCCAATACAAACCCTTCTGTACCTTGCGTCTGGGCAACACACGTTCTTTCAGCTGGATGACACCCCCGACTTCCCTGCTCCCAGGTCCCCCCAGACTGAAACACTCTCCCTCCTCATCCTTCACCTCCGTTCTCAGCTTACGCATCACGTCTTGGGGCTGCCTTTCCCTGCTATCAGGATCAGGTCCTGCTCATTGTCCCCACAGCATCCTGCACCCCCACCTGCTGTTACACTGAAGCCTTTGCTCCGTGTCTGTCTTCCCCATAGAGCCCCTTTGCGAGCTCCACAGGGCAGGAACAGGTCTCTCTCCCTGAACCCTGAATCCCCAGCGCCTCGTACAGAGCTGGGGAGGGTCAGTGCTCAATAACTATTGCCTTTGTGAAGAACTGCATGTGTGGATAGCACAGTCCAGGGTCTGTCTCCCACGGACACTACCTTCTAACACAGGAAACACCCAGGTCCTCAGTGTGAAGATGGGTAGATTAAATTCCCACTGTTGGCAACAGAATCTCACCTACTCCTCATTATTCTCAAGGTCCAGCCTCTCACTAGAAGGTCAAGTCCTTTTCTTATCACCAAAGACCCATGACCCAGGCTCCAGGAGCAGAAGCCATTCCCAAGTCCACACCTTAAATGGCAAAAACGTTAGGGACTGGCTCTTTTGCAAATGTGCTATGTAAGCCTCTAGCTAAGACACAGTACTTCTGTTTCTGGGGGTGACAGCTTTGCAACTAATTCAGCATCTAGAATACAAACAAAATTTGAAGCAACCTAGAGAATTGTGTTGAGATTGCAAAGCTAGGAGGCCAAGGGGAAGAGGCTGTGCTGGCTTTATATTTAGAGGACCGGGGAGCAGCCTGAAGGCCACCAGGGAGGAGAGAGGCCTTGCGTAGGGGAGAAATGGACATGGAGACCTTTCACTGCTTTTGTTTAACTCTATAAAAATCATAAACACATGCAAAAATGTCTCCTAATTAACCACCCAGAGAGAACAACTTTTAACATTTAGCTACATGCCCGTTTGGTACTGAAAATGATGGGCTTGAGGTTGTCCCTATTTAATAGCCTTCCTTTTAAATTTTTTCAAATAAGAGCAAATCTTTATTAAGATAAAATGATTTTCAAAATGCCACAGCAAACTCAACCATATGCTGTACGTAAGACACACATTCACAGCAAAGAGGTACCTGCACTCCCATGATTATTGCAGCACTATTCACAACAGCCCAGATACACAGCAACCTACATGCCCATGGATAAAAAAATGTGGTAGATAAACCCAAACAAATGCTACTTAGCCATAAAAGAATAGAATCCTGACAGCTGCAATAAATTGGATAGAACTGGTAATCATTTTGCCAAGTGAAATGATCTGGACACAGAAAGACAAAGAACGTGTCTTCTCTTGTCTACAGAAGCAAAAGAAAAAATCTACAGAGTGAAAGAAACTGTGTACTCTATCAGTACATAAGGGTTGCTAAATGCAGCCAGCCTTGGCGCCCGCCGATGCAGCACACTGCAGCTCTCTTGTACTCCAGGGGCAGGCAGAGAGCATCTGTTGACAATGTGGACTGCACTTTCCTCTTAAAGAACTATGTACCAGGGCCGGCACTGCGGCGTAGCAGGTAAAGCTGTCGACTGCAGTGCCAGCATCCCTTATGCATGCCGGTTCAAGACCCAGCTGCTCCACTTCCAATCCAGCTCTCTGTTGTGGCCTGGGAAAGCAGTAGAGGATGGTCCAAGTCCTGGGGCCCCTGCACCCACATGGGAGACCCAGAAGAAGCTCCGGGCTCCTGGCTTCAGATCGGTGCAGCTCCGCCATTGCGGCCGATTGGGGAGTGAACCAGCAAATCGAAGACCTCTCTCTCTCTCCTCTCTCTCTCTCTGCCTCTCCTTTTCTGTGTAAATCAATAAATCTTAAAAAAAAAAAAAACACAGCTATGTACCAATTCAGCCATTTTGGGCCAAGACTCCTAAAGTATAATTTCCACATCTGTATGCTGGGGACAAAAGTGGAATCAGTTGTTCTTTTTCAAGAGGATTAAATGAAGTAAAACATGGCCTTTTAAAAAAGTTTCTTTTTTATCTATTTTCATTTTCTTACAAGGCAGAGTAAGAGTGTGAGAGATAGAAAAAAAAGAAGGGGGGAGGGAGAGAGAGAGAGGACAGAGAGAGAGAGGGAGAGCTCTTCCACCTGTTGATTTATTCCCCAAATGCCCACACCAGTAAGTATGGGGCCAGGCAGAAGCCAGGAGCCTGGAGATTCATTCAGGTAGCCAAGGATGCACTGGCAGGAAGCTGGATGAGAAGCAGCGTGGCCGGGACTTAAATCAGCACTCCAATATGGGGTGTGGGCATCTCAAACAGTGGCTTAATCTATTGTGGCACAATACCTGGCCCCCAAATATGGTAGTTATTAATACTGAGCCTGGTATGCAATAGATTGTTGTTTGAAGATTAATTAATTTATTTGAAAGGCAGAGTTACAGAGAGGCAGAAGCAGAAGAGAGAGAGAGAGAGGTCTTCCATCTGCTAGTTCATTCCCCAAATGGCCGCAATGGCCGGAGCTGGACCGATCTGGAACCAGGATCCAGGAGCTAGGAACTTTTTCCAGGTCTCCCACACAGGTGCCGGGGCCCCAAGGACTTGGGCCATCTTCTATTATTTTCCTAGGCCATAGCAGAGAGCTGGATGGGAAGCGCAGCAGCAGAGACTCGAACTGGAGTCCATATGGGGTGATGGTGCTGCAGGCGGCAGCTTTACCTGCTACGCCACAGTGCCAGCCGCACAACAGATTATTCAAGGAACTGCTGCTGCTGCTGCTATTGACATAACATCGGCAATTACTTCTCCCCAACATCGTTTCTGATGGCCACAGGTATCACAGTGAATGGATCTGCTTAGCCAGTCCTCCCCTGGCGGACACATACGCTGTTGTCAATTTTCTCTTCTGTTGGTTGGGTGCTGGGATGAATATTCACATCAAGGATCCCCAAGAAAAAAAGGAAGCACAAGAAACGTGGATGGTTTCCTGCAAACGTGCTGGTACCACAGGTGGCAGAGCCAGTGACCGATGCCTTCCCGAG